CCTGCCAGAAACCACTGCATGTCGTTCCTCGGGGTGGAAGTGTCACTGTAGACACTGTGACACTGAGCCCCCTTGGTCTGTGTCTCTGCAGAGAAAGAGGAGATCGACCACCCCAACAACAGCTTCAGCCCCTGCAGCATCCACGACCGCAAGTGCCTGCAGAAGCAGCAGGCCAAGAGGGTCAACAACGGCAACAAGATGCGCAGCAGCGGGAGCCCTCACCACCGCGAGGACACGCGGGTCATGGTGAGCCCCTGGGGAGGGCAGGGAGGGTGCTCCAGGGTCAGGCTCCTGTGGCTCAGGGCCAGGAGGATGTGCCAACCCTGCGACCAGCTCAGGCCTCCCTTTCCCCAGGCACAGGGCTCGTGCCAGAGCGAGCTGCACCGGGCGCTGGAGCGGCTGGCGGCCTCGCAGACCCGCACGCACGAGGACCTCTACGTCATCCCCATCCCCAACTGCGACCGCAACGGCAACTTCCACCCCAAGCAGGTAGGATGGGCTCTGACCTAGCACAGGGCACTGGAAGAGGCATTTTGCAGAGCCAAGGTGAGACTGGGAGGGGGGCGTGGATGGAGGGGACAGTGACAAGGCACGGCAGAGCCTGCCTGGCTCCTGGCTTTGGTGGGGATCACCCTTTGGGTGCTGGGGGCCCTTTCCAAAAACCCCAGGTGGGATGGGGGTGGTAAAGCCCCAAAGAGAGCTCCTGGTTGGGTCCAGGCTGGGTGTCCTTGACCAGAGCCATCCCCACAGTGTCACCCGGCGCTGGACGGGCAGCGGGGCAAGTGCTGGTGCGTGGACCGCAAGACGGGCGTGAAGCTGCCGGGCTTCCTGGAGCTGAAGGGGGACTTGGACTGTCACCAGCTGGCCGACAGCATGTGAGCGTCACCGCGGCGGCCCCGCGCCGTGCAGGGCCAGGACCCCCGCCGGGGCTGCCCAGGAGAGGAGGAGAGGGGACGTGACCGCTGAGCAGCGCCAGGGGAGCCCGGGGTGCGCCTGGGATGGCGCCCGCGGCACCGCCAATGACCACTACCAGCCTCCGCCAGGGACCCAGCCCGGCGAGCGCCTCCACCCCGCACGGACACGGCTTGGATGATGCTGCCTGGGTGGAGTGGGTGGGGGGCACCCCTGATGCTGCTGCTGCTGCTGCCCCGTGGTATCCCCAGTGTTCAGCCTGGCCCCGCAGGTAACCTCGCACACCTGGCAGCTCGGGGAGCGCGGTGGCAGCGCCGCATTTGCAGCTCAGTGCCCTCCATGCCACACCTCTGCAGGGGCAGCAGCAGAAGGGCCTCATCCTGCCCTCCCTGGCGGCGAGAGGCTGCCCAGGCAAGGAGTGGGGGGCCTGGAGAGACCCCCCTGCCTGCGTCCCACCCTGGTGTGTGTGTGTGAAGGGCAGTGTGGCCACTTGGAGCAATAAGAGACCTTTCCCCTCCCTGCTGCAGCCCCCAGCCCCACAGTCCGGGACCTCCTCCCCATGGCCCAGCCCCATCCCACTCCCTGTGCAGGGACAAAGCCTCCCATCCATCCTGTCTCCCCCTCCTCCCTCCTGGGGTGAGGGGGTCAGGATCCCCAGGCAAGCAGCATTGAGGGGAAGGTGGAGGGATGAGGGATGCCTAGGAAACACATCCCAGGGGGAAGAGCTTCTTTTGGTTTGAGTTTTTTCTTTCTTTCCCAAAATTTAATATTTAAAAAATGTTGCTGGTGGGAATCTAATAAGTGACTGTGTGGCCCCAAGGCTGGAATTCTCCATCCCCAGGGGCCGGGGCACTGCAGTGATGGCTCCTGTCCTCTCTTCTTGGCCAATGTGACAAAACTGGGATGGATTCTGGAATGTCTCCATGATGAGATCTGCAGATTTTACCAGCACAATGCTCTCAGCTGAGAAATTGTCACTGGTTTTGTACCTGTTTTTTCTTCTGGGATGGAAATTTTTCACATAAAAACACCATGGAAATGTGCCAAAGACAGAGGGGACCTCCCCATTCCCCTCCTGACCCACCCTCTGGCTCCATCATGGCCTCAGTGGTCGGTTTTGGTTTTCCATGTGGATTTGTCCTGTCTGAGCCCCCCCCGATGGGAACGGAGTGTTTCAGTTTTAGTGAAACACCCTCTGCCCTCCTGATCCCTGCCTGCCCTGGCTGCCCATGGCCCTGCTCACACACAGCTTCTAAACTGAGTCCATTCACCAGGACGGTCCTCGGTGGGGAGGGGGGTCCCTGTCCCTGCCATCCCTCTGAGCCCCCGCACCAAGGAAGGGATTCCCAGTGCCAGCCCCAGTGCCAGCCCCCCATGGCAGCACCACAGCAGGACACAGAGCAGTGACAGCGCCAGCCTGGTGGCCTCGGTCACTCCCGGTCTGCACTAGGGCGGGTCCAGCAGAGCCTTTCCTGATCTGGGGGCTCCTGGCAATGCCCCAGGGCACATTCTGTGTCCCTCTCCGAGGGGGCTCCAGCGTCTCGTAGCGTCTCTCCTGTAGTTTAGGGCTGTATTTACACACCACCATGTACCAGTGTCCCCCACCCCCAGCGTGTCCCCTGGAGCCCAAGGGGTCCCTGTCCGTCCCTCCCGGGCCAAGCCCGTCCCATCAGATTCCTGTGTAGCACCGACCTTTTACAGTACACTTGAACCTTTGTATCCTCAAAAAAAGGTAATTACTGTATTTAATTTCCCGTTATTTGATGTGTTTCTGTCTAGTGTGTTTTATCTTTTATGGCTTTAAATTAGGGGAGGGGAGGGAGGGAGGCAGAGCAGGAATGAAGGGTAACCCACTGGTGTGGGGACAGGCTCTGGTCAAGGACCCGCTCTGGGTTTGGGGTTCAGCAGCCCTGCAAACCCAGGAGCCCACGAGCCTCTGGAAGAAATTCCCTGGGCAGGGATGGGGTGGGAAACAATTAATTCCTTGCTTCCTCATGACTCCCGGCTCAGTGTCTCCACGGTGCCACCGGGAGGATTGTCCCCGTCGCCCTGCACAGCGCCACCGAGCAGCGGCGGCGGCGCCAGCCCGGGGAGGGGACCCTGGACCGGCTTCAAAGTTCAGGGGCACACCGGGACAGGCACCAGCTGCTCCAGGGACACGGGCTCCAGGCCAGGCAGTGCTGCAGCCCGAGGCACATGTGTGGGTGCCTGCTGGTGCCAGGGCGCACCGGGCACCTGCAGCTCGGTGTTTGGGGAGGGGGTCAGGATGCAGGCAGGAGATGCCCAGGCACAGGAATTGTGACAGCTGTGCACTTCCTGGTCATGGCTCCACTCTGTGCCAGGGTCTGCAGCCAGTTGTGCCCGGGGTCATGGCTCAGGAGGTCGCTGAGTCTGGGTTTGGTGGCTCCCGGGGCCGGCAGTGTCACCGGGGCTGGCGCCAGCCGGGTGCTCCAGTTACCGGAGTGGGGCTGTGGGCGGTGCTGGCATTGTACAAACAGCACCGGGATGGGCTGCAGCCAATGCAGACAGCCCAGAAATGTGCTGGCATGGCAGATGGGCCTCCTGGAGCCCAGCCCCATGCCCTGGCCTTGTGTTGATGGCTACCAGGGCTGGCTGGGCTCAGGGGGCAGCACGAACCCCCAGAGCACTGTGGGCAGCCAAAGCTTGTGCCCATCCCCTTTCCCAGTTGCTGGTCCTGACCAGGAAAATGATAACAACAGAGTTGTTGCCAGCTCTGGTGGTCCCAGGGCTTCCCCAGGGTCTCAGGGCTCAGGACGCACAGCCCAAGCTGCCTGTGACCTTGGGGAGCTGCAGCTCTTTGGTCTTTGCAGCATGATGGGGACAGCAGAGGCACCTGGATCCCTTGGGCACCAGCTCCTGAGCCCACCCTGCAGTGCTGGGCTGTGGCTGAGCAGAGCTCAGGGCAGAGGGACTGGGGGGACAAAGCTGCTGCTGTCTCCTCTTGGTGCCCCATGTGCACCCCCTGCAGTGACCCCAATATCTGTTCTGGTCATTGCCAAGAGTGGCCACAGCTGGACCTGCTCCACAGCCGGGCTGGAGCCCTGGGTGCCCTGGGTGCATCTGTTCAGCTGCTCTGGAGCAGAGCAAGTGTCCCCATTGCTGCCATCCTCGCGGTGTTATTGAAAAATATTCTACTGCTTTATTGAAAATACCCCTGCGAGGGTTTGTTAATATGGGGGTGAAAATTAAACCAAAGCAGAGACACCAAATGAGAAATAAGGTAGAGAAGAGTGTGGTGGCCTCAGAGCTGCTTTCTGCTCTGAGCTACAGCACGAGCTGACCCTTCAGCTGCTGCAGATCATGGCAGAACCATGAGTCTTCCTCGAGGCCCTGCCAATTTACGTCATCCGAGAATCCGGCCCAAATTCAGGCAAGTAATTTCCAAAAACCCGAGGATGTTTCACTGTCATGGAAATGTCACCATTTATTTCCCAGCTCTCTGCAATGCTGGGAGGTCGAGCCCTGCCCGCAACCCCGCACTGCGTAAAAAGGGCAGAAGAATTTCCCAGCACCAGGAAAAATGCGCTGCTCTGTCAATTCCTGCCTGTGGATGCTGCTTGCTCCTCGAGGCAAGCAGGTTTCCAGCAGGACTTAGTCATTTTATACACTTTGATTTGCAAAGCTGCCTCTTTGTGCTGCTCAGGGGGGCGATTCCTCCCCCAGATTTTCCCTCCTGCAGCACTGGGGGGTCAGGGCTGAGTCCCCAGCTCAGTTCAGCTCCATGAGCTCCCCCAGCCCAGGGCACCTTATGGCTAGTGGAAACCCCAGCCAGAGCATTGCGGTCCTTCAAAGCAGAGAGTCCAGCTGAGGGACAATGGTTCCATAGAGAGCACAGCTCCCATCCCTTCCCCAGGGCAGCCAGTGCCCCATGGAGAGGCTTGGAGGAGCATCTCATCCCACCAGAGCTGAAAGTCTTTAGCTGAGGCTCCTGATGTGACGGTGCATAACAAAAAAATTCGAATTACTTGCTGTTGCCAAAATGCAACCCAGAAGCAGGAGAAAGGGAGCAGGAGAAGCTCAGCAGTGTGTGGGCAGCTGCAGGCCCTGAGTGTCCCAGGGCTGTGTCCCTATGGGCTGGGCAGGAGCTGGCGGAGCAGGTCGATGACAAGGGACACGGGCTGCACGGTGTCGTACTCTGCAAACAGGTGACAGAGGTTCTCCGAGTCTGTCTGGCTTTTGGCCACGAACCCGAAGATTCTTTGGAAAAGAAAAGAGGCTTATTCAGTTTTCATCCAGGAATCTGAAGGAATAGGCTGAAACCAGCCCAGCCGCAAAGCCAAATCCCAGTTCCAGCAATTCCACCTTGGCCCGCTCCCCAATCACGTTTCCTTGGAAGCCAAGCAGCCGGGAGGAGCATTTTTGGCAAGGCTTCCCCAGCTGTGAAAGGATTCTTGAGCACAAGGTAGAGCCAGATATAAACTCACTTCCTGAACCCAGCACAAGTCCCTGGGAAGGCTGTGGGATTTGGATGAGGGGTTCTGCATGAGGGGATGTGGAAAACTGGCCTCAGCCAAACCTCTCATCCAAACCCCCCCAAAAAGCTTCACCCATCAGTCCCACGCCTCATCCTGCCACCATGGTAACTTCTATCACATCCCCTCCTCATTTTTGAGCTCATTCTTTGCTGCTCTGCAATGCAGCCACTTCCCAAAGCAGCAGCATTCCCCTGGATTCCAGCCCCCCACCCCATGCAGGAGGTCCCTGCTCTTACCTGGAGGACTTGCAGTACTTCTGCCACCTGGGGGAAGAACAGAATTGGAGTTGCTCAGAGGCTGATGTTTAACTCATTCCATCAGCTGCAAAGCCAAGGGTTATGTTTAGATCCACCCCAGCAGGGCGTGCCCAGGGCAGTTTTTATAGGATTTGGGATCTGAAGTGGTGCAGAGGCACTGGGAGCCACAGGGAAGGGAGCACAGCAGTGGTGGGTGGTTCTGACAGGCACAGGTGCCCAAAACTCACTTTCTGTTCTCAGGGTCCATCCCACAGAACCTGATGGCAGCCAAGGGGTAGTGTCGCCTGAAAAACACCCTGGAAGAGGAGAGGGAATCGTTAGGGAAGGGAAGGGCCTGGGAAAGGACATGAATTTGCAAATCTAACCCCTGTTGTGCGAGACTGAGGGTCTCAAGGCATCCCAAAACCCCAACCCTGAGTGCAGCTGGTTCCCTGCCACGCCACCAAACCCAGAAACCCCTTGCTAAGGTGCCACATCCATCCCTGCATGGTGACACGGATTTGTCCAACCAGGACAGGCTTTCCTGAGGCTGGGAGGTGAGGAGGGAGCTGCCTCTCCATGAACCACCCCCATCCCTTGGCCCACCCAAGCTCTTACTTCCTCTGGACGTCGGTCAGCGTGACGCCCTGCTCCGTCACCCTGAAGTGCACCAGGGCTGGGGTGGGCAGCGTCTCCAGCTCCAAGGTGCAGGAGATGCCCTTCAGGATGGCTGGGGCTCCTGTCAGCGTCTCCACGTTCACCGAGTTGAGGTACAGGACGTTGCACACTGCAAGGACGGCACGGCTCAGCACGGATGTGACCCGGGCCAAGGGGTCCCAGGGGTCATCCTGCAGATCCCTCCCATGGACCCGGGTCAGGTTTGTTTTGACGAAAATTAAAAAGATTTGGTGACTCAGAAATTCTTCGCTAATTTAGTTTGGTTTGCTTTAATTCTTCGCGCTAATTGTTGTAAAAGTCAAAGTATTTAATTTCCCGTTTCTAAATGTCACATTTGCTGGGTTTTTTTCTTTTCTGTTTATTACATATTTCCTTTAATGAAAAGCAGAAATACCCCAAGCTAACCAAGGGCTGACGGCCAACCTAAAACATGACATTTCAGGCTGATTGAGCTGTTTAAAGGGCTGCTCTGGGTCAAACTAAACTTTCCAGCCTGCCAACTGATTTTTCAGAATTTCCAGCAAAACAAAGCAGTCTCCAGCTCCCCAGCCTGCGTTGTGACCTGTCCGTGTGGTCTCCTGCCCTTCATTCTTTGCTCTCACCTGGAGCCCACCCAGGCTGAGGTGCACAGACCCTTCCCCATCCACAGACCATTCCCACAGGTGCCCTGTAAGGGAATTTCACCAGCCCCTGACTGCCCACCCCTCTCCTAAAGCTCCAGCTGTTCCACCCCCATTGAAACCCATCAGGAGAGAGGCTTAAAAATCAGGAACTCTTTAAAACTGTGGAACCCGGGGGTCTTTCATCAGCCTCATGACCTCCAGAGCTGTGTTTTCAAGCAGCTTGAGGACTCAAAGTTTCCCTTCCTTAAAAATATCAGGTTTCCTTGCAACCCAAGGGAAAAATCTGCAGGAATCCTGCAGCTATCTGCAGCCCCATAGGGAAGCTGGAGGGGGACGTCAGTGCCCAGCCCTGCACGGGGGTGACCTGCTGCTGTCACAGCGTGCCCAAGGCTGTCCCCAGGGCCAGCAGCTTGTCCTCACCTGCAGCTTTCCTGGCCAGGGCCGGGGCAGGTTCAGGAGCGCAGTCAGGGCTGTCCAATCCATCAGCGAGATCTGCACAAAGGACAAGCAGGAGCAGTGATGCCACAGGCCAGGCTGAGCTGGTCACCTCTTTGGCTTTTCCTTATCTCACAAAAGACACTAATTGCAGGGGTTTAGAGCAGTAATTAACTCAATTGTGCTTCATTTCCCTCTCCATTCACCTCTGATCTCCCACTTCCCTTGCCCCCAGCGGAAAGGAGCCACCACCCTCCTGTCCCCAGCTCAGCTCCACCTGCAGCCAGGGGAGCAGCCCCTCGCAGGCTCCCAGAGGGGGGCTCAGACCCCTCCCCACGCCAGGACCTCGCCCACCTCCCCGGGGCAGCGGGAGGAGCCTCCCTCCTGCCGCATCTCCTACCTCGGGTGGGGATGCTGAGCTTGCAGGGCAGCGCCAGAGGGGTGATGGAGTGCTGGTAGACGAAGGCAGAGAGGCTCCCTGCAATCAGAATTGTGAGTTTAGGGTGGGGGGGGGGGGGCTGCTGCCTGGAACCCCCCCACCCACACACCTGCAGCAGTGTCCCAACAGGGAGCTCGTGCTCCTGCTTTGGAGCTGCCAGGGAAATGCAGGCAGGACCTGGGGCTGGGGGGTTTTCCTGTGCTGGCAGGTGTGGAATGCATTCACCTGGTGCTTCCAGGGGCTTTGGGAGCAGCTCCTGGCGCTGCCAGGGCTGCTGTGGGCACAGCACCATCCTTACCAAAGTACAGCTCCTCGCTGGCGCCCTTCAGGTGAACCCCTTTGGTGGAGGACTCGATGAGGAAGTGCCTGACGAGGTCACTGCTCTCCTCACCTGCAAGAGGAACCACGATCAGCACCAGCACCGGCCCCAGTGCCACCGTGCCACCCCAGGGTCCTGTCCCAGGGCATCACTGGAGCTGCTTTGTGCCACCACCCTGGTGCCAGCCCCTGTGAGAAGAGGGCACACACAGAGACTCTCTGCCACGCACCACAGTGCTGTGGCTTCTCTGTGGCTTTATTTTGGGTAATTTCAGTTAAAACCCTTGAAGCAGCCCCCCATACACCCCCTTACCTGTCTGGCTGCCCGAGGGGGATCCAGGAACCTTCATGGCCAGCCCGAAGGAGCCCCGGAAGGAGGTGCTGTCCCTCACCAGGAATGTGCCCGGCTCCTTGTCCTTCAGCAGCTGGATTGCTGTCAGAGCACAGGCAGGGGCTCAGCCAAGCACAACAGGTAGGAGCTGCCTGCCCTGTGCCCTGCTGCTCTGCAGGGAGCCCCTCCTTGGCTGCAGCAGCTCTGGAGTGTGTGCCAAGGACATGCACACAACCCTGGTGTGGCACCAACTGCAGGGCTCTGCTTTGGTCCCATGGTCCCTGCAGCCCTCAGGACACTCAGCTCCTGCCCAGGCCACGCTGTGTGACAGGCAGGAGAAGCTTTGCTGGGCTTGGAGGACACAGAGGGGCTGTGACACAACCCTTGAGAGGGTCCCTCCACACCCATCAGCGCCCAGCAGGATTTGATTTGCCCCCAGTGAGTCCCCACAGGGACACTGGGGAGCTCTGGGGCCAGGCCAGAGCCCGAGTGGGGTCACACCCTGCCTCACCTCGGTCCCTGCTGATGCTTGGCTTGAACCAGAATTTGGAGGTGTCCATCACAAACTTCATGGTGGGCTGCCCAGCCTTCAGGGGACCTGCAAGGGAGCACGGGGTGTCAAGGCCAGCAGGAACCTGAAGGACCCCCACAGATGGCAGAGCCCAGCAAAGACATTTCTCCCTCAGGGTGGCCAGGGCTGAAGGTTTTTCAATGCTTTTGAGTCCTTTCCTCCCCACTCCTCAGAATAGCTCGTTCTCCATGCAATTATCTCTCTTGGCAGGCTGTGATGTAGAGCAGAGAGGGTCACATGGAATCCCCTGGCAGTGCCAGCCATGCCCAGCCCTGCACAACCCACTGGACCATGGGATTTACACCAGCATCTGACCCACACACCCTCTTGCTATTCCCACAAAGATTCCAATTAAAACCCTCTGCCCTGAGAGCTGCCTGTGCTCATCTCCTGCAGAGAACAATAGCCCCAGTGTCTGCCCTTGAATGAGGGACCTTGTGAACCCTGGTGCCTTTTGGTGTCCTCAGAGCCAACGGGAGCCCCAACCCCTCCTGCCAGCCCGCTCTGGGTCTGCAAACAGCACAGCACAGCACAGAATGATGTTCCTCATTCTCAGGTGCTATAAATAGGTGCATCTGCATCTCCTGGAGGGAGCAGAGCATTCCTGGCTGCTGAGCCCACGTCCCAGGACACCGGTGGGCAGAAAGCTGAGCCCAACCCTGGGTCACCGCCCTCAGCCTGGAGACCACCGGGACCATGGGGAAACACAGCCAGCGCCTCCCATCCTTTGTGTCTATAAGCAGAGGGAATATAACCAGCTAAAGCAGAGGGAAAATGGGGTTTGCCCCCCTGTTTCCCAGCATTTTTGGGCTGTGCACTGCCCCCCACCCTGCCCTGTGAACTCACTGTCTGAGAGGCAGCTGAGGGTGGGCGCTGACTGAGCGTTGTTCAGACCCCCCAGCCTCAAGGCCGGGCTGCAGCCGGCCAGGGGGGGCTGTTTGGCAGAGCTTGGGGGGGCTCTGGCCATCGGGGGGGGTCCATCCCCTTGTTCCAGGCATCCGTTCACCAGCAGCACCGGGATGTCGGCAGCAGAGGTGAGGATGGAGGGGGGGCAGCTGCTGGCCTGGCCCTTCTGGGCCGGGGAGGCGCTGGGGGAGCTCCCTGCCCGCGGCTGGGGGGAGCTCTGGCCCAAAGCCTCCCTGGGGTGAGCCACGATGCCCGAGGAAGGGGAGCAGGGGCTGCCCAGGGAGCTGGAGGGGGACAGGGAGGCAGCGGCCGAAGCGTCGGAGTCGTCGTTGTGGAGCGAGTGGGTGCTGCTGCAGGAGGGAGACAGAGCACACATCAGGGGGTGTTCACACACAGAAACCGTGCCAGCCACTGCACCGACCCTGCAGGGCACCACAGGGAGCGAGGGACTGCCCTGTGCCCCTTCCAGCCGGCACAGGTGTCATTTACCTGCCCAGGATGTAGCTGGTGTCCGAGCCAGGGCTGGTGGAGAGCTGGGACACCCAGCTGCCCCTCTGCTGGGCCCTCAGCACCTGCACGGGCTTCAGCAGGTTCTCCACACCTGGGGACGTGCTGAGGGCCCCGGGGCTGCAGGCGGCTGTGTCTGTTTGTCCTGCCAGGCACTGCCAGGGAGCGCTGCTGCTCTCGGGTGCTTTGCTGCAGCTCAGCGCGGCCGGCTGGGGACTCGGGGGTCCGGGTGGGCTGGAGAAAACCACGCTGTCACCAGAGCTGTATTTGCCTCCCAGAGCCCCTTTTTGGGGCAGGAAGCTGCTGGTCTGAGGGGACCTGGAGAAGGGGGTGCCTGAAGGGCTGGGGGAGCCCTGTGGCAGGTCAGGCCCCGTGGCTCTGCCTGGTGTCAGCTCTATGTACTTGATGTCTGCAGAGAGAGAGAGAGAGAGAGAGAGGAGATCATGAAGGATCTGGTGTGCAAGCTGGGCTCCTCAGCAAAGCTCTGTGAGGAACACGTGTCTGTTGTTCCTGCTGGGAATTTTGGCTCCCTCTCTGCAGGGCTGGGGGTCCAGCAGCGTGTTGAGACCCTGTGAGGGCTGATTGCTCACAGAGCTCCCCCCGTGCTGGCAGGCTCCCAGGGAAGACAGGGGGTTACGTGCGGCCACGTCTGCCTGCTCAGACCCCCCTCGCCAGCATTACCCAGCCAGGACCTGCCGGGACCTGCAGCCAGAGGAGGGTGCTCCCTCCAGCAGCTGCTCTGTTTGTACCTGACTCAAGAGAAAAACACCTGGCTGCTCCCCCCGGGGTGACGTCAGGTTCGGAGGGTGGCCCTGCACACCCTGGGCAGAGGGGATGTCACCTGGGCCCAGGTACAGCTGGGGCAGTGGAAAATCCGCACGGGACAGGGGCAGGTAAAACATTCCTGGTGTACAGGACCAGCAAGCACAGACCTGTCAGGGGGTGGCTGCTCTCTCCTCCTTTCTCCCACCCTGCACAGATCTCTCTGCAGCAGTCTCTGTGCCTCTGTCCTGCTCGGGGATTCTTTGTGCTCAGAGCCAGCCCTTCCATTTGCCATTAGTGACATGACAACACACCTGACAGCATCTCCGGTCCAACACCCCCAGTGGAACCTCACAGCCAGCACCAGGAGTGCCTGGTGCACATCAAATCCAGGCTTCCTTGGACAAAGCCAGCATTTCTGGCTGAGCTGGAAGAGCCCTTTTAGCAACTTAGACTTGATTTGAGAGCTGGCAGATTCATCACATCCCAGGGGAGCTGCTGCTGTGGTTAATCACTTAATCACCCCAGAGCCAGAGGTGTGCACCTCCCTTCCAGCCTGGACGTGCCCAGCTTTGCTTTCAGCTCCTGCTCCTTGCCCTGCCGTGGAGTTCAGCACAGTTCCCCTTCTCAAAGGTGTTTCTCAGAGAGGGAAAATCCTGTTTGCTGCACCAAACACAAACTGCTCTGACAGCCCTGAGCTCCCTGCCCGTGGGGTGACAGGTCCTGATGGACCTGATGTGTGAGAGCTGCTGGCCTGAGCACCAACCTGAGCTCTGGGGCATGGAGCTGGGTGAGCAGGAAAAGCACAGGGCTGTGCTGAAGTGATTCCCCGAGCCCCTTTGTGCCAATCCCAGCAGAAAATTGGATAAACACAGCCAAGGAGGCGCTGGGTGTGCCAGGAGGGCTGGTCCCCAGTGGGGACACAGCTGGATCATGGCAGGACAGAGCCAAAGCCAGCTCCTCCAGTGCCCAGCCTGGGGGCAGCTCTGTGTCCATGTGCCCTGGCACCAGTGCTCAAACCCTTTTGTCAATATCTCCCCAAAATGAGAAAGAAATGGGGATTTTAATTGTTCTTTAAAGAACTGACAAGAGTCTGTGCACCAGGCTCCTGAGGCCTTTTACCTCCTACTTCTCTGCCTTTGCTCCTCTTATCACCTGTGGTTAAACCTCAAATATTTGCTCAAGACCTTGGCAAGTTTTCCAGCATCAAGGAGTGGCAAAAGTGCCACAAACACGGAGCCCAGATGTCACGCAAGCCAAGCTCTGAGATCTCCTTTCTCCTCTAGGATCTAGAAGGATCCAGAGGGAATAGAGCCTCTCATGAAAGTGCCTCCTGTTGCTGCAGCATTTCATAGATTGTGCTGAGCTGGAAGGGGCCCATCAAGATTGAGTGCCATGTTTAAAGTTTCCTCATGTTCTCCACTAAAAAAGACAAGAACAGGCCCCTCTCACCTCTCTTGGGCACCATCAGTCCCTGCCACCCTCACACCAGGGCACAGCCTGCAGGGCTGGAGCAGGTGAGTGAACACTGCACTATAGGAGGAAGTTTGTGTAAAAAACCAAGAGCTGTTAAAAGAAAATGAAAGCTGGAGTGAGCCTTTCCCCACTGAATTCGTGGCCAGCTCTCCAGATGTTCAGTTCCACGCTTGCAGCCAGGTTCTCCAGACCATCGGCACGTTACCTGAGGAGCTGCCTGGGGCTCCAGCCCCTGAGCAGTGCAATGGGTCAGGCACGGAGCAGCCAGAGCTGGATCTGCACTTTGGCACAGTGTTTTATCTGCAAGGCCACCCTGTCCATCCCAGCAGGAAGCAGACACTGTCTGCTCTGGAATTGCCTGGCTCCTGCAGGGCTGCTCACCCTCACACCCGCCTCATCCTTCTCTCTATGTCTGCATGAGGGCTCAGGGAGAATTGAATTTGGTTTTTTTTTGTCTTTAACATCCCCACATTTGACCTTGCTGTGGGGGACTGATTGTTGAGGTATTTCCATGTGCAAAGACAAGGATGGGCAGTAAAGCTTTTGGGAAGCTTGAGGCACCTGAACCACCCTGAACTGTCCTGTCAGCAGTGTCAGCTCCCCATGTACAGAGTGTTGAACACCCAAAATGAGCAGGAGAGCCCAGGCAGGAATAGCTGGATCACAAATCCGAGTTTGGGCTGCAGGGATGGCAGGGAAGAGCTGCACAAGGGGTCACACAAGGCACTGTGAGCAGAGGCAGGGCTGGTATGTGCTGCTGGTGCCTTGCGTATGCCAGGTATGCTGCCCAGGGAGTGCACAAGCCCTGGAAAAAGAATTTCCCTGGCACAAGGGTTGGGAACACTTAAATGGGATGGTTGTGCAACACTCGATACCTTAGCCCAGGGCTCTGGAAATCTGGCTGCGAACCCATGTGCTCCCACAGGTCAAGTGTGACCCTGGCAAAGGCTCTGCTGCCCTTGAGGGGAGCAGGGTCCTCACTGGGCACCCAGAGCCCGTCACTGGTGGTGACAGCTGGGATTAGAAGTTTTCCAACAGCTGCAAGTCCCATTTGTGATGAGAATTGTTTTCTTGAAACACAGGGAAATGGACATCAGGTAGAACTAAAAGCTGTTTTCCCTGGTCCTTTCTGCGCCCCTTTGAGCTGCTTGGACATGAGAAATGTCAACAGTGATCAGGGCAGGGCTGTGGAAGCACTGGGGTCAGGCAGAGCTTGGATACCCAATTCTGGATTCTTATTATGGAGCCCTGACGTCAGGACACTGATCCCCCTGGGGACAGCAGGGAATGTCCCTGGTGCCCATTTTCAGCCTCCTCAGGAACACAGGACCTTCTGTGGGTCTAGAGGACAGACATGTGCCCAACCAGGCTCTGATTTTCACCAGATGGGAGCTTTGGTGACCCAAGTGCTGCCTTTGCCTCACCTATTGCCTCTTGCTCCTGCTTCTTGGTGGCCACAGTGTCCCCCTGAGCAGCAGGCTGGCCTGCAGCCCTCACTGGCCTGCATGGCAGTGGCTGGAAGGTGGGATCAATCTCCAGGATCATCTTGTTGAGAGTCTCTATGGTTATATCCAGGGAGGGAGACACTGGCTGGTCCTCAGGGTCCGTGCTGCCGTTCTCCTCCTCCTTTGGCTGGCTCAGCACAGGGGGTCTCTCCAAGGAGGAATTCTGCTGGTCCTTCCCCTGCGTGTGAGCAGCCAGATGCTCTGGCAGGGGCTGGGCTCCATACCTGGGGAGCAGGTGAGCCTTGGGGTGCACCATGGAGGGGGGGTCAGTCCAGGTTTCTGTGGAGTAGTAGACGTACTTGCCCGGCAGCCTGGGGTACCCGGCTGGGTGCAGGCTCTTGCTTTCCTCGGGTGAGGAAATGCACACAGTCTGCCCAACACGCAGCACGTGGGATTCTATGACCTGGGACATGCTTTGGTTTTCTGCTTTCACAGCTCAGAGGCCAAGGGAAACCTCCTCCTTCTCCTCCTTCCTCCAGCAGGGACCTCAGACCCCGTCTTCAATCCAGTCTCCAGCGGAACAGGAATCTGAGGAATGCAGAGAGGAGTGGTTACACAGGCATGCCCCGGGCAGGAGCAGGCTCCAAATCCCCGTTTTTATGGACTTTTCCACTGGAGTGAAAGCTGGAATTCAGCTCATATGAAATCAAGTCCCCCTGTGCTGCTTTTCCAGCCCCTCCAGCCTCGGCTCCCGGTGCCACAGCGCAGCCAGGCCAGCACATGAGAGGTTGGTTGGCAGCAGCTCGTCAGGATTCAGAGGCCTAAAATGGAATCCTGCCTTTATTTGCTTATTTTTCTGGATTAGGAATGAAATGAAGGCTCTAGCAGCCTTCCCATGGGACCCTGGCCCCGGGGAGCCCTGTGGGGCAGAGAGCTGGAGCTGCCTGCCAGGGCAGTGTCCTGCAAGGGGGTGTACAGCTAATCCAGGATTTCATTTTCCTGGTACAACACAAGTCTGCAGGCCTGTGGACGTGGCTGCTGCCTCAGTGGTGGTGCTGCTTGAGGACTCTGACTGCAGATAGGCTCTGAATACTTTGCTTTAGGCAGAAAGTGTTTTTTTTATTCCCCATTATAAACCCTTATGGAATGAGGTTGGCTTCCCTCAGAGGTCTGGGGAAAAGGGTCTTGGGGGTGCTGTTTGGAGGTGGGGAAGTTGTCCTGCTGCATCAGCAATCAAATGGGGTTCCCCCAGCTGCTGCTGGGCAGGAGCTGTCCCTCTGCCACCTTCACCCCTTTGCCTTGGGATGAGGACAACAACCCTGCACCCCTCTGTACCCACTGTGCCAGCCCAGATGCCTGTGCTGGGGACCTCCAGGCCCAGCACAGTCCCTGTGCCAGCACCACACCATCCTCTGTGGTCCCTGAGGAGGGCAGCACTGCTGGGGACCACGGGGGATGAAGAGATCCAGAGGCAAACCTCTGCTGGCAGGAGTTAATGCTCCCTCTCCGCATCCTGTGCAGATCTGGCTTGTGACACAAACAGAGGGATACACTGTCACAGATATCTTTTATGAAAAATCCTTTCCTTAGGATTTTTCCTCCTGAGAAGCTGAGTGGCCTCAGGAACAAAATATAAACATTGATTATCTGCTGCTGTGGAATGCAACAGGTAGATCTTTGATTAGCCCATGTTAGTTGTTTTAATTAATGGCCAGTCAAAGTGAGCTGGCTCGGACAGAGAGTTATCATTCCTTCTTTTTCTATTCTTAGCCAGCCTTCTGATGAAATCCTTTCTTCTATTCTTTCAGTATAGTTTTAATATAATATATATCATAAAATAATAAATCAAGCCTTCTGAAACACGGAGCCAGATCCTCATCCCTTCCCTCATCCTAAGGCCCCTGTGAACACTCTCGCAGTACGCTTAATAAAATATTTGTCCTGCCCTGCACCAGCCTCCAGTGACAGACTTATTTACTCTCTTATCCCGGGCTGATTAACGATGGAGTCACAGGATTAGGAAGCAGACACGTTGCTCGCAGGCAGTCCCTGAGCCCCGTGGGCGCGGGCAGGAGCTGGGCTGGTGCCCTGCGTCACCGCCCGTAATCAGTGACTAATTACCCTGCCAGGTGTCAGAGCAGGAACGGGGGGTGCCTCCAAGCAGGGCAGCTCTGCCTGCCCCAGTTATATAACCCCGGAGAAGCCTCATATTTTGCTAGAGAGACACCCGGGCTCATCAAATGTCGGGAATTCGAAGCAGAACATCGCTGCTGCTGTCAGCGCCCGGCCCCGGGCGAGTCAGGGCAGGCAAAGCTTCTCCAGGGCTTCCGAGAGCTGCAGGAGTGAATAAATACCTGAACCCCGTTCACCTCGCTGCCAGCCCGGCCCCCGCCGTGTCTCCTGAGCCTCTGAGGGGTTTCAGTCCCGGCAGTGGGAGCAGGGCTGTGCTGCAGCAAGGGAAGCACCTCTGGAGCCTGAATTAGGCAGCTCTGAATTGTTGCTAATTATTCCTAGAGGTGGGAGCCCCTGGGAATTTGGGGCTGTGCTGCTGCAGCCAGGTCTGCCACAGTTCCCAGAGGGGATGGACTGAGGCTGGAGTTGGTTATCCCTGTGGAGAACCAGCTGGGAAGGGATCTGACAGAAATTGGGGGGCAGGTGGGTGGGGGGCTGCAGGTGGTGGGGTCCCTCCTCTGACTGCAGCAGTGCCACAGCCCACAGTGCCCTCCCTGCTGGCTGTGCCATGGCCAGCACCAGCCCCTGGCTCTTCCTTGGCATTCCCAGAGCTCAGCCCCAGCCCCTGGCTCTTCCTTGGCATTTCCAGAGCCCAGCATCAGCCCCTGGCCCTTCCTTGGCATTCCCAGAGCTCAGCCCCAGCCCCTGGCTCTTCCTTGGCATTCCCAGAACCCAGCATCAACCCCTGGCCCTTCCTTGACATTTCCAGAGCCCAGCACCAGCCCCTGGCCCTTCCTTGGCATTCCTTCCTTGGCATTTCCAGAGCCCAGCACCAGCCCCCAGCTCTTCCTTGGCATTCCCAGAGCTCAACCACAGCTCCTGCCTCTTCCTTGGCATTTCCAGAGCCCAACCCCAGGGCACAGTGGGTGCAGGAACAGGCTGGCACCAATCCCCCTTCCCATGCCAGGGCTCTGCCCACAAAGTTTTTGCCGCCTCAGGAGTGACAGGACTGCACCAGGGGGTGCAGGTCAGAGCCCAGGTAAGCAGATGCCCACCTTGGGGAACCACCCAAGGTCTCCTGGCACGGGGCACCGTGTGCCACAGCATTGCCAGCTCTGCGTGAGAAGCGCAGCGTGGTCCCAGGCTCGGAGGGAGCGTTTGTTAAATATAAAAAGCAGAGTCATTCCAGGTCAAAAACACAAGTGAGATGGAGTGAAAATTGGATTCTCCCCTGGGGAGAAGAACTGCCTGGCTCCAGTCAGCATCCACAAGACAAGGCTGGTTTTAATTTAAGTAGGTACAGAAATAACGTGCAGGATGCATGAACCGGGGCTGCCGGGGCCTCCAGGAGCATGCACGCAACAGCTTCCCTCCTTTCTTGTACTCCTGCCCTGAGTTTTTGATCTTTCTCAAGTGTGATGCTGCCAGAATTAGCCTCCAAACCTCATTTCTCCTCCCTTCCCTTCTCTGGGTTGAAGTGAGAGCTCTCCCAAGCTCCTCAGAGGAATTTGGAGCCTTGGCTCTCGTGCTTGGAGGAGCAAAGGGGAAGGGCTGAGGTGAAGGAGGAATCACAGGGTGGCTGCTGGCCACCAGTGTGGCACAGGTAAATGCTGCCCACAGAGATCAGGAACTCCCCAGAGCCACAGGGAATGGGCTGGGCAGGGTCTGGCTGTGCCCCTGGGCAGGGAAGAGAGGCCAGGCATGGGCACAGGTACCACGAGCCATGCCCTGGGCTCTGTGCCCTGATTCTGGGGCAGAATCAGAGGAACCCCAGCACTGCAGCCATGCCCAGGCAGGCTGGTTCAGCCAGGCCTGGGAGATGATCCACTGGCTCGATGGAAATTCCAGGGAAGGAGCTCTGTTGTCTCAAGGCTAGCACAGAAAGGGATGGAAATAAACAGGCACAAACACAGCCAGACTGGAAATGGGCACAAACACAACCAGACTGGAAATGGCAGAGTTTCTGCTACTGGAAGCAAACTGTGGAACACAACTCCATCTAAGCTGAAGGGGACAAGTCACAGATTTCACAGGCAGTTGGACACTCTTAGAAATGTCCTCAGTGAGGGACTTGGAGCTGCAGCTCAGCCCAGTAACCCCAGTTCATGGCAGAGGTAGGGAAATGAACTGGGCTGGGGGTGTCAGACTGGGACTGGAGCACCCGGGTGGGGCAGGGGGTGGGGTGCTGGATTTGGGGGGCTGCAGGAGGTGGGGTGCTGTAGGAGGTGGGGTGCTGTATTTGGAGGGCTGTAGGAGGTGGGGTGCTGTGTGTGGGGGGCTGCAGAGGGTGGGGTGCCATGTTTGGAGGGCTGCTGGGTTTGGAGGGGTGTAGAGGTGGGGTGCTGTGTTTGGGGGGGCTGCAGGGCACAGGGTGCTGTGTTTGGAGGGGTGCTGTGTTTGGGGGGCTGCAGGGCACGGGGTGCCGTGTCAGGAGGGCTGCAGGAGGTGCAGTGCTGTGTTTGGGGTGCTGCTGTGTCTGGAGGGCTCAGGGCACTGCAGGGCGCGGCTCCAGGCTCGGGTGCCCCGGGGCCAGGGCGCTGCGGGCACACCCCGATCCCCGCCCGCCCTTCCCAAAGCCGCCGGGCACGGCTCAGCCCCGCCACAGAGCGAGCCCGGGGATGCTCACAGAGCAAAGCCCCTCCTGATTCCTCTGCAGGGAACCCCCAGCCCCTCTGTGGGCACCGGAGCGGGCAGCGCTGCCCCTCAGCATCACCGGCAGCTGCGGGCCCGCCGTCCCAGCGCGGTTATTTGGGGCTCAGACACCCGAGCCGGGACACGGCCTCGCTCCCCCCAAAACAGCTCCGGCAGCTGCCAAGGCTGGTTTGTTTTCCCTCGCAACGTGAGCCCTGGGAGCCTCCCGATGACAAGGCTGTTACACATCCCCCGGCCAGGCAGGGCAGAGGGAACTGCTGGGACACCCAGGATTTCCAGAGCTCATTACACGCGGTTTAATCGCTGCGGGCGGCTTGCCTGGATTAGAGGGGCGTGCTGAGGGGGCCGAGGAAGAAAGTTCCCATGGTTGTGCTGTGTTTTGCCCGCAGAGCAGGGAGAGCCGCGGTATCACATGGCAGATACTGATATAGCCTAGCTCTGAGGGGTTCCAGCACCTGGTGCCCCGAGGAGGGGCTGACCAAGGGGGATTTTGTCAGAGCCTCCTCCCTCTCTCAGATACAAGCATTTAGGAGCCTCAGCAGCAAGAAAAAGAAGCGTTTATGAAATCCCAGACAGCATCTTGGTGTCTGCCCAGCCCCTGGAGCTGCACCATGGGGCAGCATCCACACGAGCAGTGCCAGAGCAGGA